GAGCGTCCTGCTGCGTCTCTTCCTGATCGAGGGCTTCAGGTGATGAAACACTGAACCTGCAGTGTTTCCACACAGAGAGACGTCCAATTTACTGCTTATTGAGAGCAGCGCTGCATTAGCCTCCTGTGCCGCTCTGCTGTCGGCCTTTCTCCACCTAATATCCTCCAAAGTGGGTTTCTATGTGGAAGAATGGCCGCCGGCGGGTCTGCTGACAGCCAGGAGAGGCTGCCTTTGTGTCTGTTGTGTGGAGGTTTGTAAAGGATCCAGTGAATGCAGCAGATTGATGGTGTGGGAAAACCCACTGGAGCTCCAGAGTGAACTTCAGGATGCATCAAAGGATGGAGAAGTTCTTCATCATTCAGGACGTCGCGCCACAGATGTGCTCATTTGTCTGATAAGTAACAGCAGGACAGACTCCAGCAGTAATTAAACAGGAGTCTCGTCGTCCCCGTAACGTCAAAGTTGCAGCATCTTGTTGCGTCGGTTCCCCCGGGAGGCGGACAGATGTGCAGATGACTGAGCTGGAGGCTGAAGCGTCGTTGCCGTTGGAGGGTTTATCTACTGATGTGAGGATGATAATGTGGAGTGTTTGTGCCCCCGACTTCCACCCTCGCTGCTTATTTACCCCACAGCTGTGCTCAGAAGCTGCATTGAGCATCCAGATGTGTTCCTGCCCGTCCTCCTCCTCTGCAGCTCTACACTCTGCAGCTAATTCATTAGCCTAATTACCCCCCATTTGCCAGCTTATGCTAGTTTTAATTAGCATTCTAGTATGCAATGACCCAGAGGTCTGCGCGGCTCAACAAACTGAATTCTGTGGTCAAACCCACAACAACAACAAACCACGATGACCCAGAGGTCTGCAGCAGCTAGCAGCTGGATGGAAGCACAACATTAAAACCAGCTGAGGTTTCTGGAGGTCCCCTCTGGGGCTCACCACGCCAGCACCAGATCCTTTGGGTTCTGAGGGGCCTCTGTGGATCCAGCTTGTTCTGGTGCTCCTACCAGTCCTGATCAAGACGTTTAATGGCATTTCATATTTAGTATCTGCTTATAATGGAAACTATTTCCCCAAATAACACAAACTTCATGTATCGTAGACCCGCTGCAGTACCTGGTTGTTCCACCAGGTGGAGCCTCTTCCTGTTTAGTCCTGTAGAGACCAGAGGAGGCGTCTACAGACTACATGGTGGCAGCAGAGAGCATTGTGGGAGTTTATCACCATGACAGAGACTCTGAGGAGGTTCAGGACCTCCGGCTGTGTTCATTGAAACGTCGTCAGAAAAGTGATTATTTAAGAAATCCTGGACACACGAGGAAGATCCCCGACAGCAGCTCCTATCACATGTCCCGACACGCTAGCTTCATCGCTAAATTAATAAGTTATTCATTGATAAATCTGAATTTATTACAACAATTATTCACATTTATGACATCTATGTGAGCGTCAACATTATGGGATGTACGCATATATGTCACCAGAAAAACTGCAGCAGTTTAATGTGTTGTCTGTGTTTTCTGATAATTCACCTCCTCTCTGGACTTCAAGGGCCTGGAAGGAGGTTCAAGGAGGAACTTTGATGGGATGTGGTTGATTTTAAACAGACTGGTGTTGGTGAGTGTGTAAGATGTTCAGTAAACACATACAGATACAGACATGTGTTGTCGTACACTTTAACATGAGTGCATTGAAGCTGCTGTGACCAGCGGACAGAACGATGTGCTTCTCCTTTAAGGGGTTTTAGTTTCAACAAGGCCTCGGGGTCCTGTTTACACCAGAATACATATCTGGTTATCTTCTGTAATTTTTCTAAACCTTATCTGGCTGAGAAAGTGTCAGAGCGATAAAAGATTTATTCTGCTAAGAGGGACCACAACAACACCAGAAACTAGAAAACACAAAACACATCACACAGGATGAGAATCAAGCAGAACAATCTGTAAAGTCCTGTGATGGAGTGGAGACGAGCCGAGAGCAGCACAAAGCCATCCAGCTAGCAATTATTAAGACAAACACACAGACTTGAGTGTACACAGTCACATTACTGAGCAGATGATCACGAGAGGACAGATGTTATCACAGATGTGGTAGCAAACAACACAAACCGAGGCTGAACCCAGAACATCCGGATGTTGGTCCACATCATCTGCATACAGACGATTTACTGTGAACGCAGCTGAAGCTCACGTATCGGTCGGTTGTCTGAGCAGTGACAACTAGAAATACCTTTTTCCTTTTATTTAATTAGAAACTAGTTTACTGAGCTG